CACACAAATTCCACATAAATAAAATAATTACTTAATCAAATCAAATAAGGACTCAATAAAAATGGGAATTCAGAATCAGGGCGTTACAATGCACAACATCATTCTCAATATGCAACAATTAATCAATGTTGTGACAATTAACAAACAACATCAAACTACATCAGCCCATCAAATTCATATTCACACAATATTCAATCATGTTAAATCATTATAACATCAACTCATCATTAGGGAAACACAACAATTCACTAATCACATCATACATGTCATCACATACATTCCTACAACGAACACATGACTAGAAATCAATTATTTCACCAAGCACCACCATGAGATAGCTTTGTGCGTTAGCTCTCTTACACTTCAAACAACACCTCATTTCGACCAACGTAACTAAAGTTACGGCCATAGTCGTTGAACAATGCAACAAAAATCAAAACAAAGCTTTTCACAAATTGGCCTACAACAATCGATTATCATCAAGTTCCTTTTGATTCCAAGGTGCAATTTATTGTCATTTAAGTTTCCCCCCAAAAATACACAACTGCAATCAATTGTCATCCAATGTCAATTGATTGTCATAGGCAAAATTTCTAAAAATAAAGGCATGCAATCGATTTTCATCTAATGTCAATCGATTGACATCATGAAATTTTCCATAAATCCTAGTTTTTAACATACGTTCTTCATCCCTTCATCCATAAATCTTCATACATTGTTCCAACCAATTTTCCCACAATCAGTTGACCCATAATACGAATTTAAGAGTGAATCATGTTATCACAAACATCAACATATTACAAGACTTATACTCATCATGACTCATAGCATTTCATCATGCAATTACATCAACAATCATATTCACAATCCAAACGCTCAAACATTCATCAATGACAGAAATTCATATACGTATAATCATGATTATTCAAACACAATTCCAGTCACAAAATCACATGCGTAAACACAACCAATCATCAATTTTCAGATTTCTAACACAACAACAATTCATCAAAATAAAATCATGGAATACACCCATATGAAAAACCATTTTCTCCCCCTTATCTTAGATTTCCAACAAAAATAGCAAATCAAGCAACTCCTATGGATTCTCCCTTTCAAACCTCAACTCTCCCTTATAATTCTCTTTTTCTCTAAGCTCCTTGTTTTCACGTACTGACAAAAATTTCTCCACTAAACCTAATTTCTCTAACTTTTAGAATATATAATATTCTAATTACTTTTGCATAATTATTAGTATTACCCAACTAACTTTCAGCTTCTCTCATCTTACAACATACTTCCCTCAAATCACACAATTGATTCAATTCTTATATTTACCGATTTCTCATTTTATTTCTAATATTAATTAAAAATACTAATTATTATAATTTCTAGTTATTGTTAATTATCCTATTAAGCATCCATGTTCTCACCACACGCTACCAATATCATTACTTCTCAACAACACATATAATCACTAAAATTATTTTAAAGACACACCAAACACCAAATAATTAAATAAAAATCTAAATAATTCAATTAAATTAATTAACCGAATTTGAGGTGTTACACTTTCAAAAGTGCATTTCCGGATTCACCCCCTCATAGTTACAAAATATGTTATGGAAACAGAACCGGTTATGAAATACAAAAGGCTAGAAAATTTAGAAAAATAAAATATACATTAAAATGTATCAAAATATATCCACTTTACATCGTTATTATCAATCCAACATTACATACAAAAAATGAGTCAAAACTTAAATACATTATTAGATAAAAACTAAAATGCATCAAAACATGTGTCACCACCTAAATTTATATCTATGGGTGGTTCCGCCTTTGACTTTTGATTATTTGATTCTCTTTCAATCTCCCTGAACTTGGTGAGTTACTCCATCCTATCCAAAATGTTATCCACCCAAGATTCAGCTTCCTTTGTGGAATGAATTGTCCAACCCGGTGATGTTTGTGGTATAGGGCATCCCGATTTCGAATAAAGTTGAACGAAATGTAGTGATTTTGAAAGTCATCCAATACACATAATGCATACATTTGGATTTTGAGGTGGACCACTCCGAAGTGGAAGAAATGTTTTCAAGAATCTATATCTTTTCAGATTAATAACACCCTATTATATTCATTTTCTATAAGATGACCCCTTTTAGGGAAACGCATTCATTGTTCCTTTGTGTCAGTCTGCTCACACAAGGAATAAGAGATTCATGAATTATTTTGAAATATTCTTTTTTCCCATATAGCGTTGCGTATGATTCCTTATGCACCTTTTTTTATTTGATAAGTTGTTAGCAGAAAAGTGTACGATTCTCCCCTCCTTTACCGAGCAAAGCTAAAACAACTCGATAATCGGAGTTACCATCACATTTAATATCTACAATCATTCATTGTATTTGTCCATAAAAATTGACATTTCTTCAATGTGTATCTTTTTTGGTAAATGTAGTGAAGGAGATAATTTGCTAATGGAAACACCTTTTAAATCACTTTTTATGAGATTTGAAATTTGGAGAATTAGGAAAAAAAAAGTGTGCCAACATGTTGAAAATAGAACGGAGATCGCATCGTTGAGTTGCCATTCTGTGTTGGTTTGACCTTCTTATGAGCACCATTTGTTTTATTGGCTGCGAGGGTGGTTTCAAATATGTGGTTTCTGGATAGGTAATCCGGATATTTCTCACATACCCTCATGAAATGTATTACAGATTCGACATAAAACTCTTCCGTAAAATAATTTATAATAACATTCCATGTATACATTGTGCTTTCCAATATCACACTAGCATTGACCATTTTCTCATCTTCACCCTTGATTTGTTTGCTCCATACTAAAGGCTTAAGTCCACTTCTCATATTTTTTATTATGTGGTACCTACAAAGTAATATATATGATTTAGGATACACCTTTGCAATCGAATTCTTCAATGTGGTATTGCGATCGGAGACAATGAACTTTTGCATGTTTTCTTGGTCCTTCAACATAGTCCAACACACTTCTAAAGCTCAAGTAACTTTTTCTTCTTTTTTGCTTTCCAAAAATGAAAACTCAACTAAAAAAGTCATCTTCATAGAAGTAATACCAACCATTTCCAAAAGTGAAAGCATGTACTTATTGGTCTTATATTACGAATCAATAATGAGCACAGTGGAAAATATGTTGAACAACTTGATGGAATCAGGATTAGTCCAAATATATCTCAAATGATTTCTCCATCCTGACATATTTTGTACCTAAGTACATAAGGGTTATCATCCAAAAGCTTCAACAATTGTTGAATTTTAGCTCTTGGACCTCTTATTGCCTTGTTTTTTTAGCACATTGTATACGTGCTGGATACTTGAGACGTTTTGAGGTATTTTTTGTTTCAAAGTTACAAGTATGTTTTTGGGCTAGACCATGTTCAATATCATGTCAGAAACAAACTCCTTCTCTTCTGGATTAAGGCGGTATGCAATGAGACAACTGACTAACTTGTAACACATGTCATGATTATGTATACCATAAATCATATTAAATGTCCATGTATTATTCACTATAAGCTGCTCGCGCAACTTAAAAGGGCACCCACATCTCCTCGAATCAGTGTCATCCAATTTCAACTTTCGGATAGGTTTTATGTACTTGTCACTTCTTTCCCATCTCAGTGCCACAAATTCTTATCTTCTATTAGAACCATTATTTTACCTTATGATTACAACGTCAAACCTCAATTTGGCAGCATCCGTACGAATCCATTGGAGAATATGTTCACAATCAACGAATTCATGTTCATTTGTAAATTATTTACCAACATATACTTTTGCATCAACCGATTTAACATCCATAAACATAATTGCAGAATATCTAAGGTCAATCATAAAAAAAAGTTACCAAATTCAACATTGAACTAATTCGAAAATATATTTTCTTATGACATTCACCGACAATTTAGAAATACATTTTCGGACGCAACATTCATCTTTTTAGAGCAAAAATCAGATTCTATCAAGTAATGAGTAAAGAAATGCATGTACATTACCTTAAACTTCAGCTTCTTTTGCTCATTTTGACGTTGAAAAAAATATTATTTTGAAGTAGAAAACTTGATTGAGTGTGAAAGGAGATTTTGGTAGGGTTTGAAGAAAAAATGGTACTATGATCATGAGTGAATCATACATGTAACGCGATGGTTTATTAAATTTTCCGTTTGACAAATCCAGAAATGCACTTCCAAATAAGTTACTGAGTTGTGAAATACATATTATGTGGTGTTTTTTAAACAAAATCATTGTAGTGGTGAGTTCAGATATGCACTTTTAAATTAATTTTGTAAAAAATAAAACACGTCTCACTTAAAACGTATTTTAATATGCAAGAAATACCTCTAAAAATATACTTTCAAATTAATAAAAAAACATTTTTGAGTTTTATTAGACTAACTCTTCACTACTAACGGGGGAAAACTACTACGCGAAAAGAGCAACCCTTATAACAAGATATAAAAATAAAAAATAAAAAAATATCAAAGTCCATTAACACATTTACATCCAACTGTACCAACCAACCATACACAACAAAATAAAATTTGCAATTTCTCAATTCACTATTTCTATGTTTAAATTTCTCAAAATTACATTGTTAGAAAGGTGTTTCTGATAATGTATCTTTCCATAGCAATCTTCACAATTTAAATCTGTCTATTACAGAAGCAAGATTCATGGTTTATGTAGTTCCTAATTGCACAATCCACTTTTGTAATACACCACCACACACAAATATTTCATTTTAATTTGAAGTTAAGAGGTATTAAAAATACATTTTATTTTATTTGGAAGTTAAGTTCCAACATGCATTTTCATTTAAAAACTTAACATTTAGAATTTGAGAGAAAAAAATTACAAAAAATAAAATAAAAGCTCTATAATACAGGAGGGTGCAAATAGAAACTCTCCATTTATTTATTAGAAACAAGCCCAAAGCACGAGCTGTTAGTATCCAAAAAATGGCGCCTGTGGCAGCGAGAAGCGCCGGCGCTGTTGGTGCCGGAACCGCCATCTTACTCTCTCTCGCTGTCGCGTATTTCTTCTGCGATCGTCGCTGCAATTCATCGAAAAACAACAAGAAGAAGAACAAATCAAAGAATGGAATCCTTGCTGCCATTGGTAACACTCCTTTGATTCGAATCAATAGTCTCTCCGATGCCACTGGTTGCGAAGTAATCCTTTTTTCAATTTTTGGTTGTTTTTCACTTGCATGCCCTAATTTTTATGGTATTTATTGTAACTCTTTTATTTGCTCTTTAGATTCTTGGCAAATGTGAGTTTTTGAACCCTGGAGGGAGTGTCAAAGATCGTGTTGCAGTTCAAATTATTGAAGAGGTAACTAAAGTCCTCTTCAGATAATACTAGTTGAGTTGCTGTTGAAATTGGCTCTTGAAAGTTAGTTTTTTTTCCTGCATAATCACTTAAGATTAGGCTCTGTTTGGATAAACAATTGAATTTGCAGCTTAAAGCATGAGAACTTAAGTAGTAGTATTAGGTATTTCTATAAAAAAAAAGTTAAAACAAAGTTAAGTTATTTTTGTATAATATATAAGCTGTTTTCTTAAGCTATCTTAAAGACATAGTGAAAATAAGTATGAACATATGATAGGCTTTGTTCTTAGACTTTGTTGTCAGCCGTGTGTGTCCAGTGACTGACAGGTGTTGGTGTTCGATACGAAGTTCAATTTATTCATTTTTTAAATTATTACTGGTGTCGTGTCGTGTGTGGTGTCTGTAAATGCATTTGTGCTTCATAATTCATAAGTTTTCGCTAACAATCTCTTAAGTGTTTAACTATTATCGAATAATGGTCGTGGCAGTGCTATGGAGGACATACTTGGCGGTTTTTGGGCCCACAACAGTGGTAAATATTGACCGATATTGCGGGTTTTTCCGTCATAGTCCGCTGTAATGGCGCTGTAAAGCAGCCTGTATGGTCGGATTTTGACTCTCTGCCATAAACCGCCATCCGCCATCAACAATAGTGATGCCAATAGATGAACTCAAATAATCCAATCCAAATAGAGCTCCTAGTTTATAAAGGATTCTATTTTTCAAGGGAAAGTAATAATTTCATTTGAACCTATAATTTCTTAATTGTATATATACAAGTTAATATAAACCAAATCCAACTTTAGCTCTAGCCTTTCGGAGAATTGGTGCCTTATAATTTTCTTGTCAAAAGAGGATTATCAAAGTTTTGGGTCATTTCATTTTTCTTCAGAGTCTTTGCTCTTTATTTGTCACTAATGTATGGCTTTTGTTTCATGTTTCCTGTGATTTGATTGAGCAGGCTTTAGAATCTGGGCAGCTACGTAAAGGTGGTATAGTTACTGAAGGGAGTGTCGGAAGCACGGCCATTAGCTTTGCTACGGTTGCTCCTGCATATGGATGCAAATGCCATGTGGTTATTCCAGATGATGCTGCCATTGAGAAGGTATATATGTTCAATAATTGTTATCAAGTAACTCTATTGCTTTGCTTACAATCTAGCTATAGCCTGTACTTTTTGTATATGAACATTTAACACAAGGCAAAAACTCCCTAGAGCATTTTTGTCTTCCTCGCTTACTGCCTCCTTCTTGTTTCTTTCTTTTGTTAGTGGAACAAAATGATTGAACAAATCAAGAGAGGGTTAATACAACTATGTCTTATTTGGTAGCATTAAAAACATTTTCTGCTATGGCTGTGAGTTCTGTGTGGATATTGTATTCTTTTTTAGACCTAGCAAATTAATCTTGTGAAGTACAGATTCTAATTTTCTTTTTCTTTTGTATCTGTTTATCAATTTAATTTAATTGAAATTGACCATATTTCGTTCTTGGTCATTCCACTTTATTTTCATATTTCCTTAGTCCTTTCCACTTTATTTCTTTGTTTACTGAAGCGTTTCATTTATTCTATTGGGACCATCGTTCAGTCTCAAATAATTGAAGCTCTTGGGGCAAATGTTGAAAGAGTACGGCCAGTGTCAATCACTCACAAAGACCATTTTGTCAATATTGCAAGAAGACGGGCATCTGAAGCAAATGAGTTTGCATTTAAGCATAGGAAATCACAACCCAATGGCACGGACTCGCAGCAAATAAATGGTTATGAATCTGACGGACACGGCCATAACTCACTCTTTCCTAATGATTGTCAAGGCGGCTACTTTGCTGATCAGTTTGAGAACCTTGCAAACTTCAGGGCCCATTACCAAGGTACAGGACCTGAGATTTGGGAACAGACAAATGGAAAACTAGATGCATTCGTTGCAGGAGCAGGCACTGGTGGTACTGTGGCCGGTGTTTCCAAGTTTCTTCAGGTTCATCTCCTCTTTTCTTAATGTTTTTAATATTGTTATTTTGATTGTAAAAATTTCCTGAATTTCATGTTTTATGCTTAACAGGAAAAGAATCCAAACATCAAGTGTTACCTCATAGACCCCCCTGGTTCTGGCTTGTTTAATAAGGTAACGAGGGGGGTAATGTACACCAAAGAAGAGGCAGAAGGACGGAGACGTAAGAATCCGTTTGACACTATAACAGAAGGAATTGGAATTAACAGGCTAACAAGAAACTTTGCAGAGGCAAAACTTGATGGGGCCTTTAGAGCTACAGATATGGAAGCTGTTGAAATGGCCAGGTCAGTCCTTACTCTTTGTTAAGCCGTTGTACTTCTTTTAATCTTGATGATTTTTTGTTCGTTTCTCGTTCACATTCATAAATGGCAACTGAAAAAAAAAGATAAATGGATTAGGCTGTTGCGTTAATATTTCCATTTTTTTTTTGTTTTAGGTTTCTTGTGAAGAATGATGGACTTTTCCTTGGGAGTTCTTCTGCATTGAACTGTATTGGAGCGGTTAGAGCAGCACAATCTTTAGGCCCTGGTCACACAATTGTAACCATTCTGTGTGACAGTGGAATGAGACATTTGAGCAAGTTTTGTAATGATGAATACTTGTCTCAACTTGGTTTGACACCTAAAGCAACTGGATTAGAGTTCTTGGGTATCAAATGAGTATGTTCCTTCCCAGAATGGCAGGAGTTCCTACTTCATTACCAAAGTGTGCAATACCTGAGAAGACCATGCGTGAAGCCAACAAGCCCATCATGCTTATGATTTTATACTTGATTGAAACATTGTTGGGAGTGTGATATGGTTCATTCATGGTTAGATTATTCTAGGGCCGAAGCCAAAGACGACCTATTTATTTGTTAATAGTTTCGCTCAAATTATGAGTATGAAGGAATTAGTTTTCACATCTTCACATCGATACTGTTTTTTATTGGAGATATCAATAGTGTATGCGTTTATAAATAGAAATTAGTTCATTTTATGACAGAAATTATTGAAGCATGTCATGGATAAACACTGCATTCGTATATGTGTGCAATGTGCTTAGGGTGGAATGAAATGAGGATAATTAAACACACACTTGCATAGGTAGGCTATAAATCAGGTTTCTAAATTAAATTATTGTAAATCACACATATTTAGATCAAAGGAAAAATAAATAAATTTGTGTGAATCACACATACTCACGAGGTTACTACGGATAAGAAATAGCCCAAAACCATTTTTATGCCAATGTGAGTTTGGGGATGGGGATTGCGTTTTCCATTTGTTCACCTATTAGTGAGATTTTACAAATTTTTTAAATTTTAGATTTTAAAATTCGAACACATTCAAAAATGAAAAATTCTCATGTTTTTGTCGAATCAAATGTGAAAAAGTCAGGATTTTATACTTTGGATTCATCCAAAGTACTCAAACTCAATTTCAGAATATTTAAGGGTTAACCAAATTAAAACACAGACGAAAGGAAATTGTATGAATATTAAAATATAAAATCTTCTATTTTACCACAAACAAGAATATTAAAATATAGACAAAAATAATTTGTATGAATATTAAAATATAGAATCTTGTATTTTACCACAAACAAAACTATTAAATTATAGAATTTTATACGTTACCACAAACAAAAAGCAATTGCAGAAATAGAAAGAAAGCTAAAAATTAACATAAATCTTTCATCTAATAAATATAAAATGCGTAACATGATATGCATTTTTGTTAACTTAAAAGTAACATTATATTTCATCAATAAAAAATGATTGAGGATGTTTTAACATCTTTAGAATATCGTCGGTCGATTTCGCAATCGTTGCATCCACCTCGATCAGATCCTTTATTTCGTAATGGTGAAATGTACTACATGTAATCGTTAAATCTACATTCGTCTTCAACTCAAACTTGTTGAACTATATCTTCTTTTCGTTGTCAATTGAATGATAACATGGCTTCAAAATCTCACGATTTATGGGTATCACAATAGATTCTTTAGTATGGATTTAAGATCGACAAAATGGGTGTTCTTTGTGAACTTAAATTCAACTGGTAGCTCTCGCCATTGAAGTAGACGAATTCGACATACAGATATTGAGACATTTTGTGTTGTTTTAGAGGGGCACACATATTCATACAAGTTTTAGTTCAATATGGACATTAGAAATTCAATCATGTCTTAGTGGATATTTCGAATATTAAAATTCAAATTCACCCTTTTAAATGTGTCAGGAGTTTAAAACATGGATTCAATCCTTAAACAAATGCAACCTGTTTTTTTTTTATTTTTTACTTTTGCTTATTTAATTCTCTTTTAATCTCGTTCAACTTGATAAACTCTTGCATATGATCTAAAAAGTTATCCGACTAAGTTTTAACTTTTTTTGTAGAATGAGTTGTCCACTCCGGTGATTTCAGTGGTATAAAACATCATTGTTTTAAATAAACTTGAACAAAGTGTTGTAGTTGCCTCGTTCAGTATCATCCTGTTTCAACTTTCAGATAGGTTTTTTGTACATGCCACTTCTTTCGCGTGTCACCGTCACAAATGCTGATCTTCTATCAGAACTAGAATCCGACCTCTCCTGATTACAATGTCAGACCCAAATATGATCACGGATAGAAAACTATTATTTAGTAGTAAATTATTTTCTAACATTTACATGGACAACATCTGGTGCCTAGACATCACCCGATTTAACATTCTTAGACACAACAACTTTGAGAGTCAGGGTGCACCATTGCTCTAACCAATCATAACATAGTTAAATTAAAGAATGAGAAAGGAAATAATCGTTTTTAAGTAGAAAATCAGATTCTTATAAAGAATGAGAAAGGAAATACATGTACGTTACCTTAAATTTTTTAAAAAAATTCTCCTTTTGACGTGAAAAATAGAAGAATGTGGTTTTAAATACAAAATTTGATTGAAAATGGAAGGAGATTTCTATAAGGTTTTGAAATTATGGTGATATGATCATAAAATAAAGAGTACATGCAAGTTGGTGTTGTATTCAACTTTCTGTTTGGTGTTTCCGAATATTGATATCCGGATAGTTTCTAGGTATTGAACTCCAAACTATTTTTGAATAAATAGAGGTGGTTCACTATTACTTCTTTCGTCTCATAATAAATGTCTTATTTAAACTCTGCGCGGTTTTTAAAAAAATGATTAGATATTGATTTTAATGATAAAATTGGTATATTTTACAAAAATATCCTTATTTATTATAGTTAGTAAAGTGATTGAAAAATATGAAAGTTAACAAATAAAAATATAGTAGTGAAAAAAATAATAATTATTGTATTAATATTTAAAAATATTTATTTTGAAACATAAAAAAAATGAGACACTTTATATAAAATAGAAAGAATAACAGTGTGTAATAAATGCGTGCAAATTTTAAAATATTCAAACAAAAAAACATTTTAAAATTCTCTTAGATTCATGTGGTCTTAACAACGTTTATTTCTATCTTTTTTATATATTTTATAATATATAATTGTAAATATATTATTGATACTTATGAATAAACAACTTATAAAATAAAATAAAAAATTATAATGGATGGCCTAAAAAATAAAGTTATTAGTTGCATAGAGAGATTTACTTTTAAGGTCGTGGGTGCGGACTCGTCATACTTCACCTATTCATTATTAAAAGATAAAATTATTGCTATTAGATTTTTAAATCAAAAGGAAAAAGATTATTTAAACATTTTTGGACTGATATGATAATGTTGTAGACGTATTTTTAACGGAGGAGAAAAGGATGCACTAGGTATTTGATAAATTTATACTTTTCGACTAACTAACTTGACCATAAAAACTAAATTTTGGTCACCAAAGATTAATAAAAGGTAAATTTTGCCTTAGAAGATTAGTTCTATTATGTATTTATCATTTGACTAAAAATATTTATGTTGTATTGCTTAACATTTCATACACACTTTCTTTTCTTTTAGTTTTTATTTCAGGTAAACTATAAACAGTTTTCTCAAAATTTCAGGTAAACTATTATGTTGTTTTTTAATCGGATGATCTTTAAATCTGAGCCCTTGAAACTTAATCCAATGACTTACAAATTCCAAATGTATTTTTTCAACCAAACAAATTTCAAGAATTACATTTGAGTAATAATGAAATTGGAGGTGAGCTTCCAACATCACTTTCAAACTATAATTCTGTCAATGTGGGAGACAAAAGGGATCAAAATGACACTGGTAAAAATTCCAAAAATCTTTGTAAGTATTGATTTGTCAAGAAACAAACTTGAAGGAGACATTTCAAATATCATTGGAGACTTCATGAACTTAAAGGACTTAACCTTTTCCATAACAGGGTCGATCCTATTCCGAAAATCAATGGGAAACTTGACAAATATGGAATTATTGGATCTCTCGTCAAATATGCTAACTGGTGTGATTCCTGCAGAATTAACTAATTTTGATTTTTCTTGAAGTCTTCATCTTTCCCATAACCATCTTGTGGAAGAAATACCTCAAGGACAACAACAGTTTAATACATTTACAAATGATCCCTATGATCCCATGAAAAGTATATGAAAACTGATCCCCAAGAGTGAAAACCAAAGGCTACGGTGGTTTATGACAAACATGTTAACTGAAGATTGAAACCAGTAAAATCATACTATAGCATCTATAAATTAAAGGAAAGTATTGAGAAATTTGCATGCCAAGATATGTATTTTAGAGATAGAATAACAATAGCATACCTGGAGCACATATGGTATGATAAAACTGTCCGCCTCTAACGCGCACAATTAGATTTTCACTACATCTTCAGGCAATTGTTAGTGAACTGTAAAGTGTTGCATTGTTGGCATAGGATTCAGGTGCAGAAAAAGTGATGTGATAACTGCCACTGGAACATGTTTTTTATGAAGTGACCATGGACTACTTATTAGAGTTTTAGAGCTTTAAAAAGAACTTGTAATAGATCAAACCGGTGAATATTGAGAATAGTGTAATCAACACAGCAACCACCAAAAGTCAGCTTTGTAATTATGTCTCATAAGTCGGAAGTCACGTTACCAGAACTATGAATATGCTGACTTTCATTCAAAAGATGTCAACCGTCTATGAAAATAAAAAATGCACATGACTTTCCTTTAACAACTGGGAATTTAAATCTCCATGGCATTCCGTTTTAGTTTGCCATGAGAATAAGACACATCTGGTTACTAACTTTTCAGTGAAAACAGGGAGCAAAACTTCAGTCAATAAAGTAGTATGTAGTAGCAATACTATAAAATGATTTGTAGTATTCCTTAGAGCAATAGTAATAACAATAACAATAATCTTTAACCTTCCCTAAAAAAGAAAAACACTAATGTTAAACCTATTCATGACAACATTGCTACATATCCACAAGTAATATGTTATTGTCCTCAACAGAATTTGTATTGGAAATGGATAATTCCTCAAATGAAGGAGAAGAAAATTACACAGGTTAGTGAACTTACAAAAATGTACCTCACCATCTAAGTCATTCATCCAAGGTTGCATATATATTGAACTACCCAAAAAGATTGTTGAACTCGCTTCACATTGAATGACATCCACCTCCCCGTCAACCTTAACAAGTTGTATCCTATTTTTTTACTACATTATCAGTTACCAGTAATCACCACATGAGCAAACCCCGTGACGAAAGTGATGAAACCGATTTATATCTCTGATAACAATTTCTCGTTGTACAACTTTTGATATCAACTTTATCACTGTGTGACAATCTACACATATTCGAAGATTTTTAATAATGCGAATAGAACATGCATGCGGAGTCCGAATTAGTCCATAAGCCAATGCCAGTCTTTCACTATGTACCCACAGGTGTCGCTCTTTTTCATCGTCCTCTACATCAAGCAAAACAGCATTGCAATCAGGAACATACCCTGCATCCCTGGTTTTCTTGTTTAACCATTCAAGCATCGCACATATTAGTTTAATGTCAGGATGAGAAGTGTCGCCCACAGAGAAATAGTGAACAATGCCTTGGTTCTCAACCCAGCTTAAGCCAGGTTCTTTCTTCACTCTTTTCTTTTGCATATTTTTCCTAACAAAAGCAACACTGTCCCATCTCCCCGCAGTGGCATACATGTTTGACAGAAGTACATGGGTCGCATCATCATGCGGCTCCATCTCAAGTACACGTTGGGCACAAACTCTTCCTAGATCAATTTTCTTGTGGATAACACAAGCACCGAGCAATGCGCGCCAAACCATTACACTAGGTTGATATGGAATTTCTCCAATGAGTTTCATTGCTTCATCCAATCGGCCCAATCTTCCAAGAAGCCACACCATGCAAGTATAATGTTCTATACATGGCTCAATGCCGTAGTCCTGTGACATTGACATAAAGTGAGCTTGTCCTTTCAATAACAGTCCTGCATTGCTACACGCAGACAGGACGCCAACAAAAGTCAGTTTATTAGGTTTGCAATCAGTTTGTTGCATCATGTCAAACAAATTTAGAGCCTCCACACTCATGCCATGCATAGAATATCCACAGATCATGGCATTCCATGAAACTTCATCCCGTTTGTTCATCTTATCAAATGTAAATCGGGCATCATTGATTCTTCCACATTTAGCATACATGTCTATCAAAGAATTTGCAACTACAGTGTCCTTGTAATACATGGTTTTGATAGTTAAGGAATGAATTTGAAGTCCCGGCTCTAATGCTGCTAAACTAGCACAGGCACGGAGAACACTTGAGTATGTCACTTCAGTTGGATGCATGTCATACTCAAGCATATACAAAAATAAATTTATTGCTTTCTCACCATCCCCTAGCTGAACATAACCAACGATTATAGTGTTCCAAGTCACATCATTCCGATCTGGCAATTCCTCAAACAATTTCATGGAGTTCTCAATTTCACCACACTTAGCATAAACATCCATGATGGCATTTGACACAAACACGTTTGAGTTCAGACCAAATTTCAGCACACAAGAATGAATTTGCATTCCCAAATTAAGCAAAGCTAAAGAGGCACAAGCTTGCAGCACACTAGCAAATGTAAAATTATTAGGGAGCACAGATGTTTGCCTCATTCGAAGAAACAAATCCAAAGCCTCCTTACTTCTGTCACTCTGAGCGTACCGTGCTATCATCAGACTCCAAGGAATAAGATCATTTTTCGGCATTTCCTCAAAAAGCCGTTGTGCGTCAACAATCTCCCCAGACTTTGCATACAACTCAAGCAACGCTATGCCAACAAAAAGATCATGATCATAACTACCTTTCAAAGCACATCCGTGAACACTTTTCCCAACATTAAACGCCTCTAGACCAAGACAGGACTTAAGTGCACCCGAAATGGTGAAATTGTTGGGCCTGTACCCCATAATCCTCATCTGATTGAAAAGTTGCAATGACTCCTCATAGAAACAATTCTCAGCATAACAAGCTACCATCCCAGTCCAAGACACCATATCCTTACAACAAATATCATCGAAAACATGACGAGCAACGTCAACATTTCCACAAACAGAATAAGCATCAATAAGAGCAGTCCCAACAAATGCATTAACCTGATGGCCAAGTTTATAAATGCAAGCATGAAGTGTCCAACACAAGTGAGCCAAATCCATGCTCACCAATAACTTGAGAAGAGTAGTAAAAACAAACGGGTTCACCTCATGCCCTTCTCTGAATAACCTATATTGAAAAGAAAAAAAAAAACACATATCTTAGAATATAACAAGTGCATTTATACAATCAACCTCTATCTATTCTAAGAAACATTTTCAACTAATAACATGTGGCAGAATTTCACACCTTTTTATTTAAGCTTTTTTTTAAGCATTTGTAAAATCTTAAGCTATACGTAAACCTTTACTACTAGTGTTATTAAAAATGAAAATTTTACCTGAGAATGTAATGAAGGGCTTCATTGAATTGATGGGAACGAGAGTAACCTTGGGCCAAGGTAACAAAAGTGATGGTGTTAGTCAGAGGCATTTCATCAAACAGTTTGGAAGCATCATGCAAGGAATTGGATTGAACATAAAAGTTAAGAAGAATGTTTTGAGCGAACAAGTCAAGAGAAGCGCCACGCTTGAGAATGTGGCAGTGGAGATGTTTTCCGGCGTTTGTGTCGGCGCCGTTTTGGATAATTTGTTGGAGCATGTGGGCGTAGGAATGAGAACCCAGAGCAGAAAGACATGGTTGGTGTTGGTGATGAATGTGGCGAGAGGGAAGTAATAGTAGTGACAGTTTTGTTCTGTCACGAACTATACTCTTAATCATGTTTCATCGTATGTTTTTTCTTCTTGTTTTCAATATGTGATGTCCTCACATCAATAGACATTAATATTGGAAATTGAACTTACGATCCCTCGATATGTGTCATTCAGAGGCCAGACCAAACCACACTACCACCAGAGAAAAATCCATGACCAACAAATTCAAACTCCGCACACTTCCAAAAAAAACTAATCTAGCCACGACCAAAACAACCACATAACCTACTCAGACCTCCTACTCAACTACAACCCCCACCACTAGACTGATGCAGCTGCAACACAACACTTGTGCAACCACTACAATTGAATCAAATAAATTTAATTTCACCCTAAACATTCCTTCGGATGAGTAATCCACTGACTTAAATCGTATGAGAATCCTTTAATCTTTGTCTTCATCCACCTCCAAGATGAGTACTGAATCTCTTCTACACAGTTAACGATACGATATTCCAATTGTCTAAAAATTCTATCGTTTCTTCGACGCCAAATGAACCATATAACCAAACAACCTGAACACTTCTCCTCCATTGCAAATACCTCCAAAAGATCGTGTATTAATTTGTTTTTTCTTCTTCAAAAGTTTAAACATTCGGCAAATTCCCCACACCACAAGCTTCATTTCAGCACCCAAAAAGCAACACCACTTGGCACTGTTCAAAAATGCCCCCTCGAGCACCAACACCACCAAACAAATTTTATTTCTACTATGGTCACCGCAGACCCTCCCAAAACCGCCCTACCGTACGCGGCGGGATTTTCTCCAATCGCCAAACTCTCACTCCTCCCAAATCTAAATCCAATAAACAAATTGACCGTTTCCAAATCCAAAAGTGGGACCCACACTTTCTTTCCCACCCAAACTCTCCATCACTGGATACATCACCCTCCGCCTCCATTCGCCTCTCCCCAATCGCCAGATTCATCATCGACGCATTCCGCAAAAACGATTACAAATGGGGCCCAACCGTCGTAACTGAACTCAACAAACTCCGCAGGGTTACTCCCACCCTAGTCGCCGAGGTTCTTAAAGTCCAAACTAACCCTAACCTGGCTTTCAAGTTTTTTCACTGGGTAGAGAAACAGAAAGGTTATCATCACAATTTCGCCTCCTTCAACGCCTTCGCTTATTGCCTTAACCGTGCCAACCATTTCCGCGCCGCAGATAATCTCCCTGAGCTGATGGACGCTCAGGGAAAGCCTCCTTCGGAGAAACAATTCGAGATCTTAATTCGAATGCATTCCGATGCTGGTAGAGGTCTTAGGATTTATCATGTTTATGATAAGATGAGGAACAAGTTTGATGTGAAACCTAGGGTATTTTTGTATAATAGGATTATGGATGCTTTGGTTAAGACTGGCCATTTGGATTTGGCATTGTCGGTTTATAGTGATTTTAGGGAGGATGGATTGGTTGAAGAGAGTGTTACTTTTATGATTTTGATTAAGGGATTGTGTAAGGCTGGGAAAATTGATGAGATGTTAGAGGTTTTGGGAAGGATGAGGAACAAATTGTGTAAACCGGATGTGTTTGCATATACTGCCTTGGTTCGGATTATGGTTCCTAAGGGGAATTTAGACGGTTGTTTGAGGGTTTGGGAGGAAATGAAGAGAGATACAGTCGAGCCGGATGTCATGGCATACGGTACTATCATTGCTGGTTTGGCTAAAGGAGGAAGGGTTTTAGAAGGTTATGAGTTGTTCAAGGAGATGAAGAGTAAGGGTCATTTGATAGATAGAGCAATATATGGATCGTTGGTTGAGTCATTTGTGGCAGAGAATAAGGTTGGTTTGGCCTTTGATTTGTTGAAGGATTTAGTGAGCTCGGGATACCGGGCTGATTTGGGGATTTACAATAACCTTATTGAAGGTTTGTGCAATATGAATAAGCTTGAGAAGGCCTACAAGCTTTTCCAACTTACTATTCAGGAGGGTCTTGAGCCAGACTTCTTGACTGTAAAACCGTTATTGTTGGCTTATGCCGAAAAGAAACGAATGGAAGAATTTCTTAAGTTGCTCGAGAAGATGGAGAAATTGGGATATTCAGTTATTGATAATCTCTCCAAATTCTTCTCCCATTTGGTTGAAAAGAAAGAACCGATAATGGCACTGGAGGTATTTACACACTTGAAAGAAAGAGGTTATGTTAGCGTTGAAATATACAGTGTTGTCATGGAGTCTCTTCACTTGAATGGTGAGGTGGAGAAAGCATTATCACTCTTTGATGAAATAAAAGGCTCAGACTTGAAGCCGGACTCATTTATATATAACATAGCAATTCTTTGCTTTGTTGATCGAGGCGAAATCAAGGAGGCATGTGTATGTCATAATAAGATCATTGAGATGTCTTGCATTCCTTCCGTGGCTGCTTATTGTTGCCTTGCTAAAGGACTTTGTGAAATTGGAGAGATTGATGAAGCTATGATGCTTGTTAGAGATTGCTTAGGCAATGTTGCTAGTGGACCTATGGAATTTAAGTATTGTCTAACCATTCTTCACATTTGCAAGTCAAATGATGCAGAAAAGGTGATCAATGTATTGAATGAGATGATGCAACAGGGTTGCTCTTTAGGCAATGTTGTATGTTCTGCAATCATATCTGGCATGTGCAAGTATGGAACGATTGAAGAGGCCAGAAAGGTTTTCTCAAACTTGAGGGAGCGCAAATTGTTAACAGAATCTGACATAATTGTGTACGACGAATTACTAATTGATCACATGAAGAAAAAGACAGCAGACTTGGTAATATCTGGATTGAAGTTCTTTGGTCTAGAATCTAAACTAAAGTCAAAGGGTTGCAGGCTGTTGCCAGATTGAAAATTGGCATGGAGACCAATTAATTCCTCCATTTTACTGATGCTGCCTGAAAACCATTTTGGAGAGGTTGGCCATTGTTTTTATTTGCTTCTCCTCTAGCATCACCATCCCGTATCTGATATAGCCATGGCTGTGAATACTTAACATATTACAAAGAATCAGCCACATGTTGCTGGACCTTGTTGCATACTCTATACTATTGGACTGTTGCACTACGGAGGTCATCTGTTCTGGGTTGTACAGATTGTATCAAGTAGCAGACAATGACACTTTTGAAAGGTCACTGGGGGTATTTTTGGAAATTTGAGTATCATTTCTAGTGCTGTCTTCCTATGTAAAACTTTGAAAACAGGATACGGTGGAAACAAGGTGACACTTTTGTAAATAAAACTTAACTTTTTGAAATCAAACCGGCCCTTAGCTTCTTGTTCTAATGTTAATGTAGGATACCATGTCTTACAATGTTACTTTCTGTTGCAGCTTATTACCGTGGAGCCATGGGTATCTTGCTGGTTTATGATGTTACTGATGAAGCATCTTTCAATAGTACCCTCCTTTCCTTGGTCTTGTTTTCGGCTTTAAGATATTTCAATGAATTTATTTTGATGTATATATGCACTCGTGTTTGAGAATCGTAGGCTTCATTTTGGCTTCAGCTGACCCAGAAAATTGTATTTCCTTCTTATTTTCCCATTTCCTCTTATTCCCTTGTAACCCCAGTACTTTCCGATTCACATTTAACTAGCTAGATTTTGAAGTGGTCTGTTTTTCTTTTACGATTAACTTTACTTCATTTCTTCCTGTTCAGATATTAGGATTGGATTCGCAATATTGAACAACATGCTTCTGACAATGTAAACAAGATACTTGTGGGAAACAAGGCTGATATGGATGAAAGTAAAAGGGTATGTACATTTGGGGGTCCTTTCTATATATATTATACATCTTAGCTGGCCGGGGTATGATGTTAGTCGACAAAGCAGTTTTTGCACGATTGGCTGGTGCAAAAACCACATTTATTTAGCGATCTGAGATTGTGAAATCTCTACGTGCTTTGTGCTGTTTTTAATTTATTATATTTTCCATTGATACAAACACAAGGTGTTACTTTTTTTTTTTTTTGATAAAAAACATAAGGTGTTACTTTTTCTCTAGGCCGTACCTACCTCCACAGGTCAAGCTCTTGCTGATGAGTATGGTATCAAGTTCTTTGAAACTGCGAGTTGCTGTATGCTTGATTTTCACATTTTCGTTAAATTATGTGATTTCTTTTTACTTATATTGAAGAACGCATGCAGAGTGCAAAAACAAACATGAATGTGGAGGAAGTTTTCTTTTCAATAGCAAGAGACATCAAGCAAAGGCTTGCAGACACAGATTCTAGATCCGAGGTACTTTGTTGACTCTTTGCCATCTTTTCATTTTTTTTAACTCTTGAGAAGTGTAACTTCTAGAAGTAATTTAGATTTTGCCATCAAGTACTTATTCTGCTACTTTGCAGAAGAAGTACATAGTTTTGTTGCTTCTTTCTTTTTACTCAATGACGATATTTTCTTCTATGGTGGTTCAGCCTCAAACTATCAAGATTAACCAACAAGATCCGGCAGCGAATGGTGGTCAAGCTGCAACAAAATCAGCTTGCTGCGGTTAGTGAAAAGAATCAATATCTGCAGTAAGAGGATGCGGGTTCTACAGTAGTGCTCATTTGGGTGCTAATGTTATTCTGATGACAATATTCGTGGGAGAATGTATTTGTCCCTCTCTATCTCCCAACTTCAGATGTCGTGTTTTAAAATTTATATTTTTAACTGTTTATTTTCCTTTTCATTTAGTTGGTGGAATTTGTGCTGACTTGTTGAATTGCTTCGATTTCTTCTTTCATATGTAGTCTTTTACTCTAAGGTATATTGACGGATAGATTATCACAACACTTCACTTGCAAATTACAATGTATATCAGTCCAAAAGTTATGCTGGTTTAACACTTCACTTGCAAATTACAATGTATATCAGTCCAAAAGTTACTCGTAAGATATATTGACAGATAGATTATCACAACACTTCAAATGCTGGTTTAAGAATATAGAAACGGCCATCAAAATGGTTTTGCATGGAACTGAAGTGGAAGCCTTGTATAAAAAAAACTGCATTTGGTGACGTAATTAATCCATGGGTTTGAGAAACATTCTTATAGTATTTTATAGGGCTTCTGCAGTTTATTTTTAAAGTAGAGGATCATAATCCGAAATCTACAAGGCGAAATGCTCTTGGTGCTGAAATTGTTCACGGTATCAGATTACAAAATCACAATGCATGAAATATTGCAGTTTCATCCAAAGCAAATCCGATTCATAATGTGAAACCATGGTTCATAAACATATGTTTTACTACATTGCTTAATGTTTGGGATACTATATATTTCTTTTAAAATTTATTGAACAAATTAATCAAAGCAAAAGAAAGGTTGGGATTAACATATGGCAGTTCTTAATAGGTTTGCCCCCAACCCATCATTTTCATCCATCATCATTATTTTTTGTTACGACAACCTTATTCATAATCTCCTATAGTTCACACAGGAGATCATTAAAAAAAAAAAAAAAAAACTAACAATGTTAGTATTGTTATTCTGGAAGTGGATCTTGACCACCTTTATCACGAGGAGCATTAGTAATATTTTCTTTTCAACACTCTCAAACACTTACTTTTTAATTGATATAAACATGTGCGGATTCCTCATTTTAGAAATAGGTTTCACATAATGTGATAGGACTCAAACATGTTTGAAATAATAAAAAAGTGTTATTAACATTTCTTTCTTTATCACTTTACTCTTTAACACAGTCACACTAGTAAGAAAATTTTATCCGCCAAGGTGCATCCCATGTCCTACCATTTTCAAAAAAATTCAATTTTAACCCCCTTTTTTAATTTATCTTAAAATTTTACAATGGTTTGAAAAAAATTTGATCCTAAAACTTCTATAAATCTTGAAAAATGTATACATTTGATTTATAGAAAATTCGTCATATTAAAAATTTTCACCACCCTCATAAATTTGATAGTTTTTTTTTTAAGTTATCTTATATGGCATGTTAGTTGTCTATTGAGGTGGACGTGACACTTATAAAATTAATAGATATTATACTTTCTCCGGTTCACTTTACAACAACAATTTATTTTTTAGATTCATTCAACATTTAATGTATATGGTCTAATAATAGACCAGATATATTGATTATTCAATAAATCTAACAAATAAATTGTTTTTTATAAATATGATCAGAAGGAATATTAAGTTTATGTTCACATCAGCTCAAATAATAACATAAGATGTTACCTGGATAAATACTAATACAACAATAAGTCAGGAAACAATAATCTCGGTCCACTACGTGCACTATGTGCAATTTGTGTCGTTATAGCAATAGCCTCACCATTTGAGTTATAAAATCCACAAGGTTATAAAAAAGAAGAGTTATTGTTTACATTCTCTATTGATCGGTCATGCCAAGTGGTGGAGGCGACACTGGGATGTCATTTGAAGGTTCAACAATACTTGATAGTCTGATAACATCTAAAGGGTCGGCTAAGATAGAAGGGATAATGAGAGAATGTGATATTCTAAAGTACCATTGTAAGTATTCATCAGAACATTACATATGAAATATCACAACCACTATATTTTCTCTAATCGCATCAACTAAACTAATCTGTTAGCACATAAACAAATCCATCAATGATAGATGATACAATAAAGTTTGGCTGTGGTATCCCTTGCACATAGCCAAATTGGCAGAGAGACACCGCTAAAAAAAGTAAACAATCATTGCACATAGCCAAATTGGCAGAGAGAGAGAGTGAGACACCGCTAAAAAAGGTAAACAATCATTGCACTCTCTCAACGTATATAACTTGAAAGTAATGTAATGTCATCAAAATCATGATGCACTTGATGGTTTATGTATGGTGTTAATATGACATCATCATAGGTGAATGATTCAACCCTACTCATATACTTCTGAAGACGTTTGTGCAAGCATACTATGTGTCTCATCTCATGGGGAGCCCTCTGACAAATAAGTTAACCTTCTTTAAATACTTTAAGAATAGTTTATAAAGACTAAATAAACTTCTTCCCCCACAAAAATTTAGAATTTTTAAACAGAAACTGAATTTTTTTAAAAATATTTTTATGTAAAAAATTCAAAATAACATAAATTTGAACTTATAAATTGAATTTTAAACTCATTTTGTGCATAAATTCTTATCATAACATAAAATATATCTCCAATTTTCAGAGGCATTCTATTAAAGTCTCGATTTAAATTGATTTTAATAGGATTTAAAACTGTTGACAAAAAATAGCTAGGACTAAAAATAAAATAAAATTTTATAAAAATTTATAACATACTTAACTTTTATTTTTAAAAAGTTTAATTGTCAACTTATCCATAAACTTGTTATAACAAGCTTGTTAAAACTAATCATGAAAAGGGTTTCAATAGACAGTGGCCAACTCAAAATTTTGATTTTATTTTACAATCAATCATTTTAGTCTCCAATTTTTTTGATGGACTGATGATCCAGAAACCCAGGAGATCATAACATTACAATTCCATCAGAAAGCTTTAATAGTATGTTTGGATCAGCATTGGTGAAGAACTTCTTGCACCGCAGCATCGATTCAACGAGAAAATACTATAGCAAATATGTATTTGGTTGTCCATCAATTTGATCAAAAGTTGACAGAATATAACTTTTCAAGCCAATGGTTTCAAAATATAACTATAGTATAACTATTGACTACTGAGCATAAGAACTTCAGTATCGGGTATTGAAACACCGGGTGATGAATTTATTGTCAGAGTACAAAACCTCTGAAACTTATGTCTTAACTGATGCATCAAATCGGAATTATAACAAGAGTGGATTTTGTCCAAGTATAAATAACTTAAAAGAAACTAAAATCTTCTGTGTGAATCACCTCCTCTCAAACTCAGCTTCATGGCAATGTGGATCTAACCAGTCCTTAGGAGAGGATCTCTTTACCATGCTGGGATTTGCTTTCCCCGCACCCACAAGCTCCCTTAAGTTATCCAACTTATTCTCCCTACCTGTCCCACTCTTTTTCTTATCGGCTTCTTTCAACTTTTGCTTGAACCGCTGCTTCCGGTTTGATAAATTTACCTCTTCCTTCTGTTTTGATTGTGAAGGAGGCGCCCCGTGTGGGCCAAGATAGATGTTCTCTTCCTTCTTCACCTACACGAACAAGCATATAACAAACAAATACATTAAATATAGACAGTTTCAGCTCAACCAGTTTCAATATTTAAAGCCTACATATTAACCGGTCATCCTAACTCGAAACAATTAGTTCAACCGACCTTTGCAGCAGAATTTGATGGTTCTATGCTTGCAACATTTTCTTTACTTTGATCAGACTCTTCAATTCCAAGACTCGGAATCACAAATCCTTCAGTATCTACAACCAAAAATAGTCCGCACAATATGCATTTAGGAACAAAACTAAAATGCTATCAAGATGCATCTGTAAAATAAATCCCAACCATGTAACACAAGAAGTATTAAGAAAGATGCATGTATATCACATGAGAATGCAAAATCAAACCAGCACATGCTTTCTAACTTCCAATCGAAGTCAATAAACCCCAACAAAGATAGGTTACTTCTGATAGTAACAAACAACATCGTAAACTTCAGTCTAAGACATATATGCATGGATATTCATCACATGAACAACACATAATAATAATCTTTTATCAGACCAGAGATATCATTTTTATTTTAAATTGTTGATTTATAAATATCAACAATTTATTTACATTAATACATAAATATAAATAAATGCAACGTCAGAGTATGAACCATAGACCAACCGTTTATGGTTAACTAAATTAGCTCACATCAGTTGAGCTACCTCACCCACCCGACCAGAGATATCATTGTCTGTATGCAATATATAACAAAGTCAACCCTAATAAGTCACTCTAATTTGCATTAAAATTTTGAATCAAACAGCATCAAAATCAAGCTAGAACTACAAGCATTCCACAGAATGTGATCCTAATTAGCTAAAATACAGGACAATCAATTACCCTAGAAAATAAAATAAGGTGAACATGAAAATCAATAACTGAACAAAGTAGAACAGGTAGATAACAAATAAATTTATCCAATTGGCAAATATTTGGTATTGTTATTCAAACCAGTTCCAACCTAAATGCAATAAATCAGCAAGACTCAAAAACCCCCAATTAGATGACAGATTCATAACTTTTATCCCAATTTTTTTAGGGAAAAGAAAAAGATCTCTCTTTTTTCATCTTTTCAGAAATTGAAATAGAAAAAAACGAATTTGAATTGAAAATACATACCCCACTCGTCTTCTTCTTGTTGAATAGGAGAATTGGAGTGTAGTGAAGAGAGATCCATGGAAAAGTGAAGACCATGGGTTTGAATGCGAAATGGGCGATAAAGCCCTATTGAAGAAACTGAGACCGAACACGCTAAGATTGATTCGATCTGGAAAATAAAAACAAAATCAATCCTCGAAGAATCAATCTAGATGCGAAATTGATAGAGGGGAATTAAACCCTAGCTCTAGGGTTTCGATGTGCCGGAATTACCCTCGCTGATTTGGGGGGAAATTGTTCAAATATGGATGTAGTGATTGTCCTCCACTCAAGGGTACTTCTGTCATTCTCGTTTTTTAAAAGGATTCTTTTCAATTATATTATTCTTCAATTTTTTTCTTTTGCGTAGATTGATTGACTGATTTTTTTATTATAGATAAATATTTCATTTTTATTTATTTCCTTGAAATATTTTTGTGGTATAAAATTATTAATATCAAATTAAATTAATTGATCTCTAAATTATGTTTTTTTTCTTCACTTAGGTGTAGTTTTATATTCACTTTGATTTTTATTATAGATTGTTTTGGAAAAAAAATTATTAAATTATAAATTGTTTTATAATACTAAAAAATTAATGTTATTTTTTATTATATTATTTATTATTTATTATTCTTTTTTTTCAATTTATTTTTTTGATATCATTAATGAAAAAAATTATATATTTTTTATTATTTTATCATTTCATACAAGAATCATTACATTTATTAATAATATGAAAATGTCCAAACGAAATATAATCAAAAGAGAGTAATATATATTTTCATGCAATATATATTGTATTTCATGTGCAACCCTTTGATGGCTTCCTCTTAAAAACACTTCAGTACCCCTTTTCATCTCCTTGTCTCTAATCATTCTAGTGTCACAAAGGGTTTGATTGGTGTTGGTCAATTCAGTGGCTTCCACCTATTTTGACAATGGCTTCACTCCCTTCCTGAAATTCATGATCTTGCTTCAAGTGGTTCACAAATCTTCTCTGCAATTTTATGTGATTTTTTTAATCATTATTTTGATCTAGGTTTGTGTGATTCAAGCTTTCAAATAAAATATCTATTTAAGTTTGTTGATTTTGCTTCAAACTGAAATTCGGTTTTATGCTGAATTAGAGTTGCCTTAGAAGAATAGTCACGTTTTTTCTGATTCCTTTTTTGAACGTGGTTAAACTTGTTTGGTTGTCTTTATGTATGTCTTTGCATGGAGTTTCAAACATTTTTACTAATCTAGTTGTGAAAGTTAAAAATGTGGTGTTTGCATTGGATAAATATATTGGTGCTGCTGTCGAATTTGTGGTTCCTAAAGTGAAGGGGTACAAACACAAAATCTTTTTGCCAAATGCTGAGTAAGACATGTGATATTATTCCCTCATTCTCAATTTTTGAAGTCTAGTTTAAAAAAGAAGATAATATCGCTATTAAAATTCTTGAGGACGAATAAAAAGTTAGTCATGAATCGTGCAAAAATCATTTCAATGGAAGGTTGATTTTGTCTAAAAGAGAACCTCCCCTAAGTTTAAGTATGGTATTTTTAAATTGCTCACCCCACTCGTATTTTTTAAGCTTCTAATTTGTGTATAAAAAAAATTGTATGGTTTGGTGAGAAATCATATCTGTTTTTCTTCTCACGTATTTGTTCCACATTATTTGTTAGAGGTAATCTTGCCTATGTTAGCTTTGTTATGCTTAGTCGGTCTCAAGCCCGGATAAAATAGGAGGGTTGTGTTAGGTTGTCGACAGTCAACGTAAAACTTTTTTAAATCTCTATGACATGGATTAACTACAAAATAATGTGAATGTTAGGTTGTTTCTCGTAAGCAATGCGTTGTATGACTTAAGTACATTTTCAAAAGAGCAAGAGACGTTGCATCCTGGATGCAATGAAAAATAAGCAAGGGTTCCCTCACTTTGATGAACAAGTATGGGTAAAGAAGTTAGTTCATGAGAGTCGGATTTGTTTTAGATCATAAAACATTGGCACACTTACTGGAAAATATATGGAAATAGTTGACATTATGGTTAGGATCAAGATCGACTTCATGTGCGTACAAGAAACTAAGTGAACAAGTGAAAAGGCGAGGGACATAGGCAACTCATGATTTATGCTTTGGTACAATGAAAAAGTTAGATCAAGAAATGAGGTGGGGATTATTATGAACAAGGATTGGAAAAAGGATATTGTAGATGTGAAAAGAGTAGGAGATCAAATTATAAACTTAAAGTTTATAGTGGAACAAGACACCTTTAATGTTATTAGTGCTTATGCACCTCATATTAGGATGGAAGAACACTTTAAGGTAAAACTTTGGGAGGATTTAGAAGGATTACTTCAAGATACACCCCATGATGAGAAGCTCTTTTTAGGAGGAAATCTAAATGGACATGTAGGGAGCGTAGCACAAGGTTTTGAGGGCGTGCATGGGGGTATGGCCTCGGGGAGGTAAATGCGATGGGCAAATCCATCTTGGAGTTTTCTTCAGCCTTTGATATTACTATAACTAATACTTGGTTTAGAAAAAAAGATGAGCGTATTATTACATATAAGAATGGGGTGACATGTTCTCAAATAGGTTTCTGTCAATCACTTTTTCCATAACTTCGTGATATGACTCATAAGTTTAATCCCTCTATAATTTGCACAATGTTGTATATCCCCTTTATTCTTATATAAATTGGGACTAGAGTGTTTTTCCTTCATTCATCTGATATTTGCTTTGATCTCATAATCTCGTTAAAGAGTTTGGTGAGCCACTCAATACCTCTATCTCAAAAAACTCTCAACAATATGTATGTTGTCTATCCCTACCTCATCATTGTTACTCATCTTTTTCAATGCTTATTTTACCTATTATTTCTGAATATGACGGTAGTACTTATAGTTTACTCCTCTTGTCTAATGTCGAGCCTACTAGAGTCCAGTGAAATATCATATCCTTCATTAATTAAATTTTAGAAATACATGTTCCACCTATCCTTTATTTTTGTTTTCCTGAACCAAGAATTTACCATCTACATCTTTAACAAACTTCACTTGATTCAAAACTCGCGTCTCTCTTTCTCTTCCATTAGCAAGCCGATATATAAATTTTTCTCCCTCCTTGGTTTCTAAAGATTGGTATAATTCGTCAAAAGCTTAGGTTCATTCTTCACTCACCGCCTTCTTGGTCTCGCTTTAACTTTCTTATACTTTTCTCAAGTTTTGGTATTTTTACACCTATACCATTCTTTAAAATAATCCTTTATAACTCTAACTTTGCTCTGATCTAAACACTTTTATTCCACCACCATGATCATTTTGTGAGGGCAATCCTCATATGTATCTGCACTTGTTTCAATGATGTCAAAACTGAGATTGATAGAAAAATGTAACTTGGACGGTATCATCGTGTCACATTTGCAGGGTGTGTCCCTCATAAGTCAAACACTCGTCAAATACATGATTTATGCATATAGAAATGGCTAAATCCATGTTTCATGTAGGGTTGGTCAAGGTAGTCAAGCTTACCATGTTATAGAGTTCATCAAAAATGTCGTGATACATGAAAATATGTATTTTTTCCTATTTTAGGGCTTTGAGTCGACTCAAGGATAGCTCCGGTCGACTCATACATATAGCTTTTTTAATGAACTACTCTCAGGAGGGCTCGCGTCGACCCTCCGGTCACTCATAATATGACCATTCGTATTTGCCTAAATTTGCATGTTTTGCGTCGACGCATGACTTGCTCCGGTCGATACAAAGTCCTGTTTTTTGCACAATCAGGTATACGAGTAAGCTCAGGTCGACCCCCCTGCTGCATAGGTCGACCGCTCGTTGTGTTAAGTCAAAATTTTGTTATGTAAAACAGTTTTAGGTGTTTGTTATGTTTGTTAAGTCAGTTATGTCTTGTATATAAGTTGAGTTATGCTCTTCCTTTCACATCAACTAAGAAAACAAGAAAAGTGAAATTCACGTGATGATGCGTTCTCATCATCTTCATCCTCTTCATAGAATTTCACAACAACTACACATAATCACTTTTGTTGTGTATTGTGCATGTTCAAGGTGATAACGTCTAAAGCCTAGGATTGGTGTAATCTGGTTTGGGTTGAGTAATCAACAAGTTTTTCTTGAATAAAACTGTTAGGGTTTTATCCTCCAAGAATCTTGAATTTGGGGTTTTTTTGCACGAATCGGTCCATCACAGATTCAACCGAGCGAAGGTAATCGAAGAGCGGAAGGTTCTGTCAGTTTAGTAGCGGTAAACGGAGGATTGTGAGTGGAAGATTCGGGTTCGACACGTGGGTGACTGAAATCAGCAGGGCCAGATTTGAAGACCGTGGGGTTGTTCAAAAGGAGTGTCATAGTTAGAGGTTTACTCACCGCATTCGAAGGACTTGATTCAACTTGAATCAATGGGCAAGAAGAAATAGGCTCTACGTCAATAAATTTCGTTCGATTGTTTGATCTCTATTTGCTTCTTGTATAAACATTGACCAACAGGTTATATCTATCTATATACAGGTCTCAATTCTATTGTTAGAATTGAGGACAGACGTACCCCGAGCGAGGACGACGGAGGAACTGCCTCAACAAATTGTTGTCTCTTTCTTTACGTTTATATTGCTTAAATTCTGAGTTTTTTAGCGCAAACGATTGTGTCAATAAAATTCTGATTTGAGTTGTGCTGAACTATTTTTAAGCTTGTTACAACTATTGATTGTAACAGACCACTTGAGCACACTACTCTCAAAATATAATTCACTTGTAATGCCCTGCACTCCAAGTGTTTGATCAATTGTGTGAACTAAAAACAATTGTGTTGTCTTTTCAAATTGTCTATAGTTTAAAGGCATTGGAACTAGTCACACCTTATAGTGAACAAAATCTGATTGAAGTGTGATTAAAATAGTGATTCTCAAATCTCGTTTTATCGAATTCCATAGGCTTTACGCATATCCGGTTTTTCGATAAAGGTTCATTTTAGGCTTTACGCATATCCTGCTTTACGCATATCGAATTTCATAGGCTTTACACATATCC